GATGCTATGATGTGAGATATTGAGAATTTACACACAAGTAGGAAATGTATGTACTTCAATCTCAGCTAGTTCACTATATACATGTACACTTGTTATCATCAAAATTGTCATCTTTCTCCACATAGCCAATTTTGTAAATTTGGCAATGTAAAAAATAAAATGTTGTCTTAAATCTATTTTTCTATCCAAAATCTTTGACCTTTAACAGCTTGCTGCGTAACTGATATAGCCTCTAGTTGTTGACTTTTGGGACTAATTGTCTCCCCTGGATCTTTACACTTTATATATATTTATTTATAGGGAAGATTATAAAATGTAAAAGCTCTTCATTATACTGTAATATTGACTTGGCTGGTTTTGGAATTGTTAATTTTACTGTCCCTGTATCTTAAGACAAAGAGATTTATGTATTATGGTAGTCATTTACCAGGCCCTATGCATGTGATGCATGTGACTGGCTTATAGTTGGTTTATCAGATATAAAATACTTGCTCACCTTTGTTCTTTTACAAGATATTGTACCAGATGAATTGGCTTTTGGGATAAAATCTAATATCTCTCCTAAATCTTGTATTTCATACAAAACAATATGAAACAGACATTTAACAGACATCTATTCCAGCTGGGTTTTGGAATTGAATTATCTCCCTTGAATCTCGTACAAGATTATCACAAACCCTTTCTATAAAGTACAAGTAATCTAGCCTAGAATTCATCATATAAGCTACACTTTTGTTCAAGTTTTTGTAGAAATTTCCACTGCATCCTAGCATGTTCAATCCAATCACTATGCACTCAGTCTTCAACATCTATTTATAGAAAGGTTTCAAACAAAATCTCTGAACAGTTGAAGATGAAATGTCACAAAAACACTGTTGTAGAAAATTACACAGATTTTACCGGTGTATGATTTCAATCAATACCACCCAACTCTTGAGTGCAAATGAGTACTGTACCTTTTATACTAGAATTTTCCTAAACTGATATTCTAAAACTTGGGTGTTGCCAGTAACATTATCTCTAGGGACAACACAACTTTGATTAGAAATATGGATTGGAATGCAGGGAAGTTACGTTCACTGCAATTTAATTCTGATGTGTATGATGAAATCAAATTCATGTAATGAATCCTCCACCCATATAAGATGTTAATCAATGTCATAATGCAACTTTACCCTGTATCCAAGTGCTAGTTACATGGAAATGTAACTTTATCCTGTATCCAAGTGCTAGTTACAGAAAAATATAACTTTATCCTGTATCCAAGTGCTAGTTACATGGAAATGTAACTTTATCCTGTATCCAAGTGCTAGTTACAGAAAAATATAACTTTATCCTGTATCCAAGTGCTAGTTACATGGAAATGTAACTTTATCCTGTATCCAAGTGCTAGTTACATGGAAATGTAACTATCCTGTATCCAGGTGCTAGTTACAGAAAAATATAACTTTATCCTGTATCCAAGTGCTAGTTACAGAAAAATGTAACTTTATCCTGTATCCAAGTGCTAGTTACATAAAAATGTAACTTTATCCTGTATCCAGGTGCTAGTTGCATGGAAATGTAACTTTACCCCGTATCCAGGTGCTAGTTACAGAAAAATGTAACTTTATCCTGTATCTTGGTGCTAGTTACATAAAAATGTAACTTTATCCTGTATCCAAGTGTGTTACATGGAAATGTAACTTTATCCTGTATCCAAGTGCTAGTTACATGGAAATTAACTATCCTGTATCCAGGTGCTAGTTACAGAAAAATATAACTTTATCCTGTATCCAAGTGCTAGTTACATAAAAATGTAACTTTATCCTGTATCTAGGTGCTAGTAGCAGTACATAAAAATGTAACTTCCCTCTAGGATATCAAAAACCAGGTGCTAGCTACATTTTGTATGTAAAATACAACTCCATCCTGTTATCCAGGTACTGGTGATAACTAAATATAGATAAAGCCAGGATATTCAACTATACTCGTCTCTACATCAAATTGCTAACAAACTTCACCTTCAAAGATTCCCTCATCTTGATAAGCTATTTTAAGACTAAATATCAGATTTTAATCTTGCCCTATTCTATATGGAGGGCAGCCAAGAAGTGTGAGTGTACTGTATGTATATTGCATCACTAGATTCCACTAGCCTGATCGTCATATGAATGTGAGTATCTGATATTTTAAAAGCTTCAGACTTGAGCAAGCTGTAAGTTTGGCAGACAAAAATCTGGTAATACCAATCCCCAACCTCCCACAGGGACGTGAGAATTGAACACGTACAGTTTGTTATCTATGAGCTTTCCTTATACATACAGTACAAAAACTATGACTATGTAGGTCATTGAAGACATCAGTGCAGCAGAAGCATCAATACTTTTACAATTTATCATACACTAGACTGTTATGACACAAAAATATCAAAATGTAAAAATCTTAATCTAAATATGTATAAAAAAAGTTCATGCAAGTGTAGATCAACTGTTCAGAGTGGACAGTGCTGACCACAACACTGTTTCATGTCATGCTTGTTCATGATCATTGGTTGATAAAAGACCTGAAGGTAAGCATTTTGCTCTGAAACTTAATTTGCTGACCTTGAATTCACATGAATTCAGTTCAGCGAAACTTCCCCAAACTGACCCTTTTCAAAACCAATTACCTCTTAAAAACCAAAGGAAATGGCATCTTCCTCATTACTAATTGAATAATGTTATTTTATCGCAAGCAGAATGGAAATATTCAAACTAATCAACAAACATTCATATTCAATAAAATACATTGCTTGGCAACACTTTCGGACAAGCCGACTATCTGACCGGTGCTATGTTGGTTCATATGTAGCGTTCTGAGATAGCTGGGCAATTTACAGATTTCTTTTCAACTAAAGCCAAATACAGTATACAAATATCACTGTTTTTTCACTTTATCAAAATATTTTTATCTATAAAGCATTTTTTCTGTATTCATTTGGACATGTGCAGTGTAAATGCTGAAAATATACAGAATTCATAACGTTAAGTTAAGAATGGAATCGATTTGATATATTTGGGTCCAGCCCAGTCAAGTTCTACAAAGCAAACCCTCCCTAAACCGGCGAAATATTCATGTCCCTCCCTAAACAAGCCAAATATTCATGTCCTAAGCATAGTCAGTGAGAAGAATTTCCACTGTACTAATAAAACAATACATATCAGCTATTTGGCACATTTTACTCTAACAAAACCTACACATTTCTAGCAATGTTATATTTATGAACTATCATATAGAGACACATACTGACATTATGTCACAGTAAGATTTAAATACATTAATGCCCCCACAGTACACTAGGTTCTGTAAATGGTTACATAATCACCAAAATTGTGAGTTAACACCAGCAATAGATGCTTTGTAACATTAAACTTGAAATTATATAACCAGCGTTGTAATTCAGTTAACCTCCTTCATGTTGAGTAATTCTGACGTAATTAATCACTTGAGCTTCAAATTATTGCAAACAAATGAATTTACTACGTCAGTATTTGTTTCAAGTATGCAGCTTCCTCTCAGGTTTTTATGCAGGCCTGATTGATTTGCATTGTGGTAACCCATACAAGTACCTTTGTGCAGGAACTTAGTGCAATAGGGCTTGAAATTTAGATTGAACGAATTCTGCATGTTAATGACAAACCAGTTTGTCAGACCTGCCACTATTTAACACCAAAGTGTACTACAACATGAAAGCAGATATTATCCACACCCTGAAATTCAAAGCAATGTTCTATTTTGCGGAAGTGAAGTTACAATTAGATCAACCTATTGTGTATCTTAGTGTATGCAAGCTCGTTTTATTGAAAGAAGACTGAACATTTTGTACTGCAATAGATTATACATGACTTAATTAGTACATAGTCAATGGTTTATACTGTGGACTGCGATAATCCAGATGCCGATAACTTGATAATTCACAATACACACAGAAATATTGGAAACAGATTTCCTCAAGATCATTTATATTCACAAGTCTGGAAATTTGAATTGCAGATTTGGGAACAAAATGGACGTTGTGTAAAAATAATTTTTTGAAATTCAGTCAAAGTCATGAAATATTACAATATAAAATGGGAACCTACTAAGGTCTTCTTATCACTTTCGTCTTTAGTGAATTCGAAAAAATTGAAATAAAACTTTAGCAACAATTTAAGAAATAATTTTTGCTGCTACTATTCGAAATTAATTCTTTTATAAATCATCTTTGTGTGACAATTATCCATATATACAGTTAGATAAAACAGTAAGCTTGAATGTCTGCCATCAATCATAGTAATTACTTGAAAGTCTTGAGTATTTTGAAGTTCAATGGAAAATGACAATCAGCCATACTGTGTGATAAGTTATAATTAAGCTTGGATATCTTCCTCAATCACAGTAATTACATAAAAGTCTTGCTGAATTCATATTTACTGTAATAATTGTAGTGTAATGAAATAGCTGTTGTATTTAGAACTTCTTTAAAGAACATGATTGACTGATCTCTGTTAAATTCATCTTTTGTTGCTAAAATTGTATAATCTTTTTTTTTTCAATTATGTTCGAATGATTGATTCAGCACTGTTTACATATTTTTTTTTTTTTTTTTGGGGGGGGTGGGGGGGGGGGGGGGGGGGAGGACAGAGAGGAGGAACAGAACACAGTTTCCAAAATTTTCATACATTGCATTTCTTACATTTGGATAAGTCCAAAAGGACACGCTTGCAACTCCTAAACAAATAAACCTTACTTGTCCTTAAAATTACTGAAATAAATAATAGTATATACAGTGTACGTCTAGTAACCACTCTCATTAACTGCTACTTGACTAATGTGATTCTGTATTACCATAGTGCGAGGATTTTGTGTAGATTAATATATGTGTACAAATATATATCTTCACAAAGTTTTGATATTCAACAATATATTGAGTTGGTCAGTCTCTAAATAAGGTCATGTTTACACGTTGTAGGTGTAAGTGGCATGCACACTTTCCTTACCTAACTATCGAACCTGGGGATATCCCCCACGGAATCTCCGGCATAACAAGCAGACGATGACAATCAAAATTTTAGATAGGGTTTCGTCGTTCAAAGTCTACAGTTGTACGATACGTCGACACTTCTCTTTGTTATTGAAACATAAACGCTTGGACTACATCATGAATGTAGAGACTAGAATGAATGAGTCATGAAATGTGCGCTTACACACAGCTATCATTGACGAACCAGGCCAGTCAGTCAGCCCAACTGGTGAATCATCATCGAGTCCTTGTTTACTACATCATTCTGCGTACTAGATAGAAATTTCTCACCTTATCCATCAACACGTAGACACCATGCGTTTCTTTGACATCTTTCATGAAGTACTTTGCCACATTGCAGCTTTTTGAAACTTCACAAGATACGCCGAAGTGCTTCTCGCATCCAGTGACGCCATTTTGGAAAATGTGTTTTGCAGTCTGTGACGTCATTTCGCGCGTAACTGGGGAGTCTGATAGGTTATTCAGCATCTGAAGCATTTCTCAGAAAAAAAAACATTCCTCTTCCTTTTCTGGTTTTTGATTATAAAATAGATAAATAAAGCTTTAATCTGATGATTCATCTTAAAATGAAATCACGGGGAAATTGTATAATATTTGTTACTAGAATAATTTGATTTCTTTCTTTATATTACGATATATTATTAAAATACACGCACGTATAATATGTTTGGGTTGCCTTGTTCTAGTGAGTGTCAGCGGTGCTTTACATATACGCGGCCAGTAGCAATCCAATTTCACCCACAGTTCATACACATGTGCACATTCACCTTTTGAATTTCAAATATATCCGGCATGTAATATATTAATTTAATCACACATCTGTAGATGTGTCCAACTTCTTTCTAAAGAAGTGAGAAAACTCTTACACGGGACCGCCCTCCTCCGTCTCCAGTGCAATAGCATCTATTTATTTATTTACTTATTTATTTATCGTGCGTGTTTTAAAAGATAACAAAAAGTTGCAGAAGAAGGGAGAGAACTCTTACAGAAAACCACCTCTCTTCCGTCTCCCGTGCATAGATTTATATTTATATACCAATCATGCGTGTAATAAAAGATAACAAAAAGTTACAAAAGAGGGGAGAAAACTTTTACAGAAGACCGCACTCCTTCGTCTCCTGTGCATTTATTGATTAATTAATAGATTGATAGATAGATAGATTGATTAATTTATCATGCTTGTAATAAAAGACAACCAAAAGTTACAGAAGAAGGGAGAAGACTCTTACAAAACCACCTCTCTTTCCTCTCCTGAGCATAATACTATTTATTTATTTATTTATTTATCATGAATGTTGTAAAAGACAAACAAACTCAAAAGTTGAAACAGGTGATGATCATTTACAGAAGAATTTTGGTAGGTTGCGTTTAGCCTTACTGGTTTTAAGTTGAAGGGAAAGAGAGAATCTGTGGCACTGCTATATACAAAGTACCAAGGACATATAATGTAATAAGTATTATTTATAACTGTATATTTACATAATTTTCTATATAAATATGTTAGATAATGTCATATAAATAGTTCCAGTTGATGATTACAATATTGACATTTACCACAATTCGTATTTGTTCATGAAAGTAAACATATACTCGCCAGTCTTTAACTTACACACATAGATTGATTTACGCATTGAGAGGCGGGATGGCCTTTATTCTCTTGGCCTGCCCACTCGTAACGTTTTCATACCCAGGTTGGAACTTAGAAAATGTGAAAATCTGATGGTTGTATTCGGATGGATGCATATGGTTTCTATGATATGGAAGGATAGTAAACCCAAAACACATATATTTCAGTAAGACAGTCACCAACCAAGATCATTCTTGTGTCCAATATTGAACTGTGAATTGACGATAGGGTTAATGAGACCTTGTTTAATTCCTTACCAAAACGAGTAAATCCGATCTTTATAGACACATTGTAGGTAAAAAAACCGCTGTAATTCTCCATATCTTTACCCAAACAGAGAAGTATTATGATAACTATTACGTCTAACTGCACATACACCTAGCCATATAATCTGAAAGGTACAAATCCATTGTAGAAACGAATTGTATTTTATGCTTATTTATCAGCATTATTCAGAGTTAGGTAAAATAGAAATAATTGAAAAAAAACTGAATTAAGAAACATTTCAGGATTAAGCTATCAGTTTGTAAAGTGATCAATCTTTTAAATCCACAAAATAAAAAAACAAACTTTTACTAAGAAAAATGTTGCGGAAATCTATAAACGCAGAATCGTGTGACTAAATCATTGCAATGATACTGTCTAATTGTACTGGTTATTGCGTATTTGTCTGTCTGTCTGTCTGTCTACCGTCCGACTCTGTCTAATTGTCCGTTCTTTACCATGGTAATTAGCCATGTATTAAGTCACTATCATTCCCACTATATATATATAACGTTTCCGTGATCTGTGCAGCGTACATATTAACTTTACTAGGCTAATCTACAAATCTACATTACCGATTTAACTGGGAAGCTCCACAAATCAACGGAAGGATTCACAAGAAGAAGTTGCCGCCATATTTTCATCCGCGTAGTCACAGACTATTATTGTTCAACTCTTTCTGAACGTTTTACAGTAGGTTTTGTCTGTTAGTGACATGAGTAAGTAATTGTTTCTGTGTGAGCATAAATATTGACATTGAAGTTTTTTTTCATGTGTATATAATTACTGATTTTTTTTATACAGACTATATTTTATGTAATTTGGCTATTTTGTTTGTGAAAATGTAATCAATAGAATATTTCAAACAGTAATGAATAGACTATTTCAAAGTGACAGGTATGGTAAGGGTACTATTTGTAAAGTCCAAATTCACCAGGCTGCATTTTGTAAAGCTCGCGTGTAATGGTGAATGTATTCTATTTATTATAGCCACAGAAATATTCAATAGCATAAAATAAGAAATAAAACATTATTTTAATGGCAGCGGTGGGATTCGAACCCACGCCTCAATGAGACTGGTGCCTAAAACCAGCGCCTTAGACCGCTCGGCCACGCTACCTATATAAGCAATATCATAATGATAAAATACGATGGATATTGTTTATTGCCTTTACATGATAATATATTTATATATTACCTTTAATTTGAAGTGTCTTGAATTATCAATGGATATGTTTATATCACTGATCATCTGTCAGTGTAACCATACTTTTTTGTCTCTGATCATCTGTCAGTATAACCATACTTTTTTGTCACTGATCATCTGTCAGTGTAACCATACTTTTTTGTCACTGATCATCTGTCAGTGTAACCATACTTTTTTGTCACTGATCATCGGTCAGTTTAACCTACTTTATATCACAAAATGTTTTAATTGTATTTATTGAAGTTGATCTTGGTGTCTCCGTGTGGATCCTAGACATGATACACTGGTATTATAACACGACGTCATGTTATAGGGTCGTAGAACACGTAGTATCCGATTTACTTGATGGAATAAATGTTTTTGAAAAGGTAGTGCCATTGTAAGCATTCCCCATGTTGTGTTTGTATGATTCTTGGCTTTGTTCCTTGCCTTAGACAGTGATGAAGTTTGTAAGGGTTTGATTTCAGTTGACCTTGTATTGGCTTTGTTCATTTCCTTGGACTTTTGGACAGTGACGTATTTTGTAAGGTTTTTTAGTTGACGTTGATCTTCTTGGTATCGTCAACATGTTTAAGGTTTGTTTTTTTTCCTGACGTGATTGTTATTTAGGTGTGGAGTTGGTTGATCTAGTGTCGTCCTTACACCTAGATTTACACTACCGCTCTCAATTTAACTTTATATATTTGTATTTAGTTTCTGTTTTATGCATGTGATGTAATTGATAAGATATATTGTGTCTTGAAAATTTGACAATTCACTTATTCGTACTGTTGCTATCACTTCATTGATCATATATCTATCCCAGTAATATGCACCCAACGAACATTTGTTTGTTAGGATCCATACCATTGATATTACTTACTAGATTCTCTCTCTATATATGGTCTAGACATTAGTTCCAGACCGTTATGTATTTCGGAACGGCAATTTTGTTGAAATGTATCGTGTGAACTAGTGACCCTTGTTACATCATACCTGGATGTTTTAATCACTGAAACATAATCTAGTAGCTAAAGTAAACAAAATGTTGAAAGTAAATCGATTGAAGGTAAAAAAAACCTCTTAGATATATCTAAAGGTCAAAAGCGTGTATTTCACCTTAATGCTGATGTTATGCACCTAACTGTCTCCCAAAATCTCCAAAATCTATTTTTGATTGCTTGTGGTTACATTGCCAGGTCGCTAAGATATTTTCGTATGTACGGAAACCTGCACCCACCTTTCTAATATCTGAGTACTTTTTCGTGTATAGTTTGTCTCTAAATTAATTTGTTACGAACAAGTACTGATTTTTTCCAATACTTAGAAAAAAACCATTGATTTTTGTTCAATCCTTGGGAAAACTAACATTACTTTTGATGGAACAAGAAACCAAACTTGCACATGACGTCACAACATTAGCTAATATTGGGTATGGTTAAACTAGCTCAGAACTTCGCAATCAGACAACCGAATTCGCTGTAAGTCTTTGTCTTCGTGATAAAGAGCATCCTCTTTCTCTCCAGTGGTATACGAATCTAATTACACGATGACCAAAATTAGTAGTAAAAAAGCCAAGATCTCTCGCTATTGCAAGAGCTTAAGGAACATCAGAGGTGAAAGTAACTGCTTATTTTGAGGAGCTAGAGAAAATACTCAACTTGAAGGGAAGACCTCAAAACATTTAAAATATTGATGAAAAGGGTATTTCTGACAACCATTGTCCTTCAAACGTTGTTTCAGACAAGAAGACAATCTTGTTGCAGTCAGTAGCGTAAATGTCCTATAGAATCAACGTTCTTGGTCCTGGTTATGCTCTAGGAACTTCCATCCTACATTATTTCATATTTCCAGGCATATGTATGAGGTCAGAATTGCTGGAAGGTGCAACACCGTGGCCAAATGGCATAGTGAGCAAGACAGGGTAGAGAAAGGGGGAGATTCTCAAACATTATCTTGAAACAAGCTTTATCAAAATTGTGTAAAATAGAGATCCACTGCTTCTGCGAAGGAATATAATACAATCACATACCAGTCATGTGCTCCAGTCACTAGACTTAGAATGCTTTGGTCATTTCCAAATGGTTTATACCAATCTGCGATCCAAAATTATGAGAGAGAACCCAATTTCCTCTATATCAATGCCAACCTTTGTGCTTACTTCATGAAATGTGGAATAAAGCTTTTTAATCCTCCTGCAGTTGACAGATTGGCGGTCATTCCTGTCACTGCCTTCCATAAGAAATCTTGTGATCATAATGAGACTAAAGTTGCCGACAATGGAATGTTAATCCATGGAATTAAAACTGTTGATTTACAAGGTCAAGTTACAACCTTTTTCCAAGATAAGAAGGACGTTCTTTTGAACAAATCTGCAGAAGTAATGAAGCCAAGGAAAATGTTATCCAAAGTTGTGGATCACAGCGGAAATCATTGTACAACAGATAAAAGTTCACCAGGAGAATGGATCAAAGAGGTAGAAAACAGGTTGCAGTATATTTACAAAGACCGAAGAATAGAAATCAACAGTTCCAGAAACAGATCCATCTTCAGTAAAAGCATTGCCAAAAGTATGTAAAATGTTGAAGAAGACAGTCAGGTTTACCCTACTTTATAAATCCAACAGTGATTCTGAAATAGCAAGGCTTTCAACTAAGAAAATAACAGAGTTTCTGAAATAGGGAGAATGCACATTTGAAGGATGGGCCCATTTGAAATACTGTACAAAGGTCAGAGTTCTTAGACGCCAAGATGTTTTTACTTCCCCTGTCATACATTAAATTTGACCTACAATGAAAATATTGAAGACAGATTTTCCATCAAATATCATTCCTAAACGTTTGACACAACTTGCAATGAAAATCAAATAAAATGAATAGAAGTTACAAACACACACACACACAAAAAAAAAAAAAAAACAAAAACAAAAACAAAACCAAAAAAACAAAAAAACAAAAAAAAATCATTTTCATGACTGAAATATTGATATTGAAGAATTAAATGTTATTCTTGATTTAACATCCGTGATTTTTTATTTTGTTTTTTTATTCTAATGAAATTTGGATGTAACATTATGTAAATTGCCTTACTGGGCCACCGTAGAACCAAATCAAATTACCCGACTTAAGTGACGTCTGTAAATAAATAAAAAAACAGAAACGGAAGTGCAATCATGGTCCCCGAACCCATGTCTTCCTATTCAGGTAAGCGATTTTGAGTTGTTTATGTCGGAGTTCTTTTTAAAGAAACGAATTCAACAGTGAGTAATTTGTTGCTTAAATCTTAACGCATAAACACATTTCAAAACATTTACGTATTTGTTTGGTGGCAATTCGACGACAGAGCGTATCTAGCGAGAAATTATTCTTAAGGGTTCGAAACCCATATATATATAATGTATATCTTGCGAAATAAGGATTGTTCAGAACCCATGACACCTCTGTTCCCAGTCAAGTCAATGATTAGTAAGAAGTGATCATTCTATAATTATTTTACAGATATAGCCTAAATAAGACATGTGAGATAGTTATACTGGAGGCCTAACTGATCAGAGGAGGCTAACTCAATGAAAATTAGATATAATTGGCAAACATTCTCGCACATTTTTTGAAAAAGAAAAAGTAATTTAAAAAAATCAAGAAATTGGTACATTAAAACTAAAGAACAATTCTTCGATTTGCTTTGTTGGATCTTTTTTTATTGAGTTAGCCCCTTGTCATGCAGGCGAGAAGTGTTACGTCTATGGCACAGTCTATAACAGATAACTCTGCTATTTCGTAAACAAATAGCGGAAAATGGCAATTTCTGTTAAAGTACCATATCTTCTTTTGCTTTCAACAATGGAATATCAAAATCCGAGAAAAAGAAGATGTTTCTTTTTAGAATAATTTTTTTACCAAGGAAAGAGTTATTGTCCGACGAAAAACCGTATACAACACTGCAATGAATAGCCACTTTTCAATCTTATTTATTTTTCGATGATAAGCAAAAACCAATCGATAGTATTTGATATAAACAGCGATATTCAACCCTTCCCACTACATGTATTGGAACTCTGATTAATATACCACCAGGTCACAGGAAGATAGTCTGACTATAATTTACGATAATTATGAATAATTTTATCAGGTGAAGTCCACAAGAAAATATGAGCAATCATATTTACCACGTTTTTAAAAAACTCAAGTCAGCTACTCGGAACACGTCAGCTTTCTTTATTTAATATTTTTTTTATCACCAGTCAGTGAAATACAATGAAATAACAAAACAATTATAACTAATACATCACAAAGAATCCTCTATATAAACACATAGTGTTTTTATCTTATTACTTCAAACATATTGTCTATATACTAGAAACTGTATATAAATAAGATATATAATAGATCTGGTATGTTGATATACATGTATATTAACATCACAGCTCATCAACAGGCCAACAATAACTAGAGAGATCCGAAAGGAGCCAACTTTACGGCATGTTCATCTCCAGGAAGTCAACAGCCAATCAACATGTTCGTTCCATAAGTTGCTCATCAGAAAGGATACATAATTTGTATATGCAATCATTTTCCAACATCCCTTTTCAAGACATTTTTAACAACTGTAAGCGGTTTGGGGGTAAATAAGGAGGAAAAGTGGTAGCGTCGATCTTTCTGCCTTTTATTTTTGTTCTTCCAACAAAATTCTAATAAACAAGACAGGGCCGGTGTGTCCGGAAAAGGAACATAGTTATATAAAGAAAAAAATAATAACAAAAGTCCGGAATAAGAGTTATCTTTCCTTAGATAGTTAGATTTCTGATGGCCAGGAACGCATGTAACATAACACGACATTCTATACCCACAACAGTTTGAACACCTTCTAGATGTTTCGAAAAAAGCAACGTGATAGGAGATTAATGTGTTCGTTGATACAACGCATGACTCTGTATCCTAAACTATTTTTAAAATAATGACATGACACGTTTTATTTTTGTCTATTTGTATTTTTAAAACAAATCTATGTTTACAAATATCTCATAAAGATTACGAACAAATAAATGTATTAACCCAATATGGACCAATACTCTATTTCCTACATTTGACAGCACAGGCAGGAAATAAACGATCACCGGAAGTGTTACATACACATGTAACGGATAAGTAGAATTCACATGTAATTTATATATTTTAATTTATCTCTGACTATCAGCTTACATTTAACAAGTCTCTGCAATTATCAGAACGTTATAGAAAAATTGTTAGCGTTCCAAAGAAATTTCACTTCCTCTGGTAAATTATGTTTCTAGTTATGAAGGATGAAGCCGTGTGATGTTTTATTGTAAAATACTGGTATCCTTATTTTAGTGATCGCTCTCACAGACATCTCGTGCATGACTCCGAGTTTTGGATCTGGGCGGGTACATCTAAAAATATATCAAAATCACACAAAAAAGATGTTGTTTCTTAATCCAAGTTGCCTTTGGGTATTTTGAAAGATGAGTCCATTAAAAAATGTTGAAATTATATAATCATATTTATCTAAATCAGATTGAGGTATTGGAGTCGACTGAAATATAAATGATCTATGATGTGAAAAAGGCAATATTAAAAAAAAGTATTCTCAAAGAGTTTCTGTACTTACTTGTTAACATATATATATATATATATATTACCTGTGTAGTAAGAACAGCATGGTTAGATGAAAGGTGGTCACATTTCAAAAACCTCCATCAGCATGGGTGTCATCATTGCCTGTTGAAGTGACATTTGACCTTGACTCTGTCTACCGCCAGTTGGCCTTGTCTCTGTAGAATATAACAAAAATGTACTTTACGTTAAAACATTTTAAAAACCTCCATCAGCATGGGCGTCATCATTGTCTGTTGAAGTGACAGTCGACCTTCACCTTGTCTACCACTACTTTGCCATGTCTGTATAATACTTTTAAGAAATGTAATTTACATCATGGTTAGACAGTTCTCCGGACTATCAACATTAACAATAGACCCATGTCAAACTCATTCAATAAAAACATACCATAAAACCCTTACTTATATCACCATTATTATTGTTTTCATTACCTACCAGCTTGTTCTTAAACTGTTACTCAAACATGTTATAGATTTCTTTTTGTTCTTCATATTATCTCTTCTTCATATCTATCTTACGTGTGTATAACGAAATAGTGATTAAATGTGTAAAGACGAGTGAAAAAATGTTGGATACATTTGTGATCTGTGGGTATATTAGCCACGCTAACGATAGATATTAATTATTTCCAGAAGGTACAATAACAGAACTAAAAAATGTCGTTCATTAGTGTAATGCCTCAGGGAGGTATTCTAGGTCAACCACTTTTCACATTTTGTATACATTTTTATCATTATGTGACAGATGTACTTCTCAGTGAATTGTTTTGTGTTTAAAAATGGAAAAGAAAAAAGCACATTCTAGAAAAAAATTACTTGGATGAACTAGTGTAAAACAGCTGAGGAAATCCCATTCACAAAATGTATCAAATACAATACAGAAAAAGTGGCAAATGATAAAAGATAAATATTACATTAGAGGAAGACCGCACAGCTGTAGTTGGTATGAATCCAAATCATATAACAGTATAAAACATATAAAGAAAATAAAGTTCGGAACACGAGATTGTTTTCTGTTAACTGGAGTGATTTTTATTTTCTAATATTGACAGTAAAGTTACATTTGTAGCTAAGGTTTAGAAAATATCGAAGGTGAACTATTTCGAATAGATAGAATAATTATAATAATGATAAACCCGCAAAATATTGAGATTTGCTAACTAAGCGAGAGAATAAGATTGCATATACTGAATGAGTCAGCTCTCATTGACGATTTAGGGAGGTATTATCGGTGTGCTCTGAACATCAGAAAACATGATTCTATGGGTTGGTTTATTAAAAGTATAGAAATGATGCATTCCCTGGTATATCGATTAATATATGGAACAATCACTCTCTGCTTATCAACTTCGGGAAACGTATGTATGAAACAGTCTCACTTATTTGATTATCGACTTTGGGAAGTTAATGTATGAAACATTCCCACACACTGAGTTATTGACTTTGGGAAGCAGTGTATGAAACATTCCCACACACTGGGATATTGACTATGAGACCTATGTATGAAACAGTCCCACACACTGGGATATTGACTATGAGACCTATGTATGAAACAGTCCCACACACTGGTATATTGACTATGGGACCTATGTATGAGAAAGACTCACAAACTTGGTTATCGACTTTGAGAAGTATTGCATGAAACAGTCTCACTGGATTATCGATTGTGATGAACTAATATTTACTTAATGGTTTACCGATTTTATAAAACTTATACTTAGATTATCTCACACAAGCTATTATCGGCATGGAGAAACTGCAGTATAAAACAGTAATACACAATTATTTATCGAAATTTAGAATTAATAAGATGCAATCATCAGTACACTGGAATTTACTTGTACCTTCAATTGTACAAATATGTACTTTTTTGTCCCCATTTTACCGACAAACGGCAATTATTTAACCTAAATTTAAGAAGTAAGACAAACGTAAGGCTACTTTCTTCCATACAAGTAATTAATATTGTTTCCATAACATTCACGTAACCCATGGCGACAACAAACGATATAGGTTTAATATATAGGACACTGTATATATCTTGACAACAAATCACATGGTCATGTCTAAAAGGTCAGGGCAAGAATTTCTGGTTCACAACCACGATCATAAAAAATACTGAAAAAAAAAAACAACCGCTGTTTAAGACTTGACAAGAAACACAAGTCTATAATACATCTTCACTAATGTGACTGTAAGTAATCAATTAGGATCTTAATTACACTTGTAATACTACTAGCGGTGACACATTTACTGGTAGGACGTAATCCTGTCTGCCACAGTGTCTTCATCTCAGCTATCACGATTTCCATGCAAGATGTCGACAACTGACAGAAAAAACTTGCAAATCAGGCTTTCAAGAGATGCAAGTTGATGGAAGTTAGCGGTCATCATGAAATATGATCTCATTGAGGAAATATTCCTTTTTGTGCGATTTTAAGCTTGGCTTGTGTAATGCTTGTTAGTTTGCTTTTTGGCGTTTTGACCATTTGGCGACATGCCATTATTTACTTGAATTGACCAAGATTTACATAGTGGGTGACTTTTACGAGGCAGAAGACGCATTCTCTTCCAAAATGCCTGGTTTTAATCTCCTTGTACTTTTTTCGGGAGTTTCATGAATTTTTTTATTTGTCCATAGTTATGTTGAATTTGAGTTTGGATTATGATTCTGTTGACATGTTTTTTTATTGTTCTCCTACACTTACCCGACATAAGCTCTGACATCATACATTTCATGGCCCACCATCGTTTACAACACCTCCTTCCAGTCCACATGAAGCCGCAAGGGAACGCTTGTATTTCGGTCTCAAGACAGTCCAATCTGGAACACCGGCAGTACAGCGACATTTGTGGGTCACATGTTTGTGCCCGTAGCCTGTAGTGCATGGCTGCTATTCTACGTCTGGCCTACGATAAACATATGAAGTTGATCATATCATGAAGAATATCAGTGAAGCTGATGAATGCTCCCGACTTAACTTGGATAAAATAAAAAATCAATGGTAATAATTCCGTATTTAAGAAGTTTCATGCCCTGAATTTGGTATACTGCACATTCTCTTAGCATGCTCTGTTAGTAATCATCAAATTTCATTAACTCAGTTATACAAAAGAGTTATGGTTCCTGTTCACTGCACTTGTCCTATCGAGATCCAGTTTAATGTATAATGTTGATACCTCCTACAGTTTTTGTGATATGCTCCGGACAAAATTATGACGGACTGACAAAGTCGCTGATTTATTTCTGTGCTATGATATTATGTATTACTAGCCAAATTAAAATAAAAGCCAAAAATACATTAACTGCAAAATCTTTTGTATATTTATGGGTGTCAAATTTCGTGGTTTTCCAAAAATAAACGTCTTTGTTGACATTTATTTTCATGGTTAAATCTTGCTTACGAAATATCCTGATTCTTTGATCCATGTCAACTTTTATTTGTTTATTATTTCTAGGACACATTTTGTCTATCAACAAATCAACAAAAATTAATTACCCATGAAAATTAATGATTTTTCAATAGTATCATGAATAGAGAACACAAAGAATTTAATGTTTGACTACCTACCATCATGGTTTCATAACGGCTTTGTCGGGCGGGAACTTTAGGCTTTCGCGCAGTAGTCTTTTTCATTGTTTTCGGATTGCGTGGTTTATTTGGCACTTTTTGTTTTGTGGTTCGTTGACTAGTTGACTTCTGGGCAGCTCTCTGTGAGAACCTTTTGTTGTTCTGATTGAAATTAGCACTGAAGCTTGCAGGTTGTACTAGTCTCGGTGTCATAGTTTGGCGGTATGTTTGTCTTTGGCTGTATACATCATTGTTGTTATATGGATCTGCGAACACTAACAACAGCCAGTAATTAGAGTACTGTAAGTATGGAGGACAAAACGATTTTAACTGTGATTGATGTGAATGCTGTATATGCTGTTACATAAAATAAAGAGTTCAAACATCATTTAAAACATTATGGATGCAAGAGTTACAAGGATGAAAATGATCTTATGTACATGTAACTGAATATTTGGAATATGCATCAAATATTCATCATATCATAAAAATTCATTTGCACTTGCTTAGACTATTGCGGTAAGATGATAATGACGACAAATATACTAGAACCAGTTGCTTTGATAACAGTTAAATGTGTGGAACTTTAAAGAAAATATGTTCCTGTATAAAGTTTTTTCTTTTATAAAATGGGGAAAGTCTTATCATTTGATCACAGTCTGGATACAATACCAGGTTGTAGGTTAATTGAACATTTTGTTCGTCATGCGTCATCCGTTCCGCATTTTCACATTTATATCTTCTTCTCAAGAACCACTGATCCGATTTAAACCAACGTGGTCACGGGTATGAATACCCGAAGGGAAAAAATGTTGCCTCCCATCCTCTGGGATTAGTGGCAAGGGGCAAATACAATGAAAACAGTACTGGTTGTGATATCAACGAGCAGCTCGAGCAAAATAACCAAATTTGTGGTCTCCTGATCTACCATTTAGCCTCCAGGGATGGAGGAAGTTTTGGACGAAGCATTAATACTGAAGCAACAATAAAATTTCAATTCGTTTGAAAACCGTAACCGTTTTGTAAAGTCATACACATTTGAACGTTTTAGGAAGTAATGCAAAGACTTTTTCGCCAAGTTGTAAGATTACCTGGTCAAACATCTTCAACACTCTTTTCTCTAAAATTCATCGTCGTAATATAGGCCGCAAATAAGAGTTCTAGATAATGATGTGAATATGGTTGTTTCAAAGTCACTGGTTCAAAGCTCGATGAAACATAGAAGTAGTAAACTGGCAATTTTCTCCGAATCCATTACTCTTTTGCATATTTAGCCAATTTAAAACATTGTCTTTTATCGCGAAAAACACCATATCCTTAATCAACACCTTTGTCCGAGTCCCACTTGCTGGTTATGAATGGGCATTCCAGTTTCAGGTCTTTAGGAAATCCGACTACCTTGATAAATATACCTGTAGACAACGATACTTGAACTATCTGCCTTTTCGTATTTTTATATTATAAAAGTTCGTCTTTTTGCCACCAAACAGTCTCCTTTAATTGGTTTTAGATAATAATCGTAAAACGGACTCATTCATTGCTTTCTGTAAATACAATTGCAATGTCAAATCAATATCAAAGATTTTTCTGCCAACCATCCTGTCCTTAAATAACAAGGGACCAAAGGTGCTTATACCATAAACAGTTTCTAAGAAAATTCCTTTTTTCCTTTTGAGTGTTGATAGAGGTATATTTACATCTTCATTACTGAACATGTTTCTTATGTAAAAAAAATATGAAAAGGTTTTGCAGGATGAAATCTTAATACTGCAAAATGCAATATAGCATGTTATTCCATAAACGATGCTTTCTATTTCATCAGTACCGACAATAATGTGTAGATGAAGTATGCAAGATGCATGCGTATATTCTAACTGCAAATATGTAACAAGTCATTAGTGTGTATAAGCTGTGGATTATTGACACAGGTACTTAATCAGACTAGACTTCTATATCTTCCGAAGAGCATTTAGAAATAATAAAAGAAATCATTAAAATATATTAAACATAGTTATGATGTCATTGAAAGTGTTGGATTAAATACAAAAAAAAAGAAGTCAAAGCTTATTGATAATTTCGATCTTGAGATGATAATTGTCTCTTGTAGTCCGGAAACAAATTGTAGTGAGTCCAGGCTGTGGCCAGGAGTTGCTGTTGCAGTTATGAACACTCAGCGTTCTGATATGTCAAATATGAGATATTTGATGAAAGAAATTTTATGAAAAAAGTAGCAGTTCCAAAATGTCTCGTTAGATGTCGCCATAACTCAAATCACGTAATAGAGGTAACAGCATAGAAAATAAACCAATGATTTGTATTGAGATTATGTCATTTATTAGATATCCTTTCCGATAATTGTTGCTAGATACCGGGAACAACCAAATATTGATTCCTTGGTTAAAAATTGAGTTCCTGTAAACAATTGTTTTAGTGACAGTCTTAGCGATTTAGACGTGAACGAGTATTGCGCAAATTGCCGTTAACTCATGCTGTTTATATAGTAATCATTGTCGATGCGTTGGTTTCCAGAAAATATGAGAATGCGCAAAAATTATATTGTTCCAAATTAAGAATGTTTACATAATATTATACATATTTGTTAACGAGGTTTAATTTTTTCGTAACAGTCAGAATTTAATCGCAAGTCTAAAATCAAACTATTTGAATCATCTTTGATCTTCTCAGTTTGTTGACAATATCAGTTAATTATTCAGACGAAACTTATCAACATAATCTTAGATATCCAGTGTTCGTACAGCTGTGATCTATTGAGTTCGTCTTTATCATACATATATATATTATACAAGTGTCATATTCTCTTACATGATAAACAGTATATTTGAAGGATAATACTAAAGCCCTTTTCACTAAGTTATATTTTAAACTGACTTTTACTTCATGTTTCCAAGGAGTTTACAGATGATAGCGAGTATTGTATTTGTTCAAAAGATAAACAAATTCTAATACATTAATCTAACTAATTGATTAATCATCTTATTTTTCTTACATAATTCTTTTTATATCTTTTCTACTCGTTTATTTATATAAAAGAGTAGTCATGTATGTTCTCTACTGAATTACAATTGATTTTTGGAAAATGATGTTTAGTGACCTATGAAAAATTACAATTCTGTATTTTTAAAAGTCAAATGTGCTGAAAACAAATAAAATTTGTTATTGCCTATTATGATAAAATTATGATAGATTCTTTATTTTTCTTATTATTATATAAATGAATATAAAAATTACCACCACGTCACCAGAATCAAAATCAATGAAACAAGAGCAAAACAATACGAACAAAAGAAACATTCACAAGGAGACAATTGAATATATAGGAGAATAAGACCAGGTGATATGGAAAAAAAAATTAGCGTTTTCCACGTCCTTGACGACACCCAAAATGTAGATCTTGGTCAATTAATGTCCCGTTCTCAAAACAAGAGAAACAATAATCAAATACACGATCGATGAGGAACATTTGGATGGGCATTGATCTATTTATATGATAATTTGTTGGTTACCACACGTAGCAAGTATTAATAACAGATATTCGTAAGGTGGATAATATACGTATATCAGCGTTTATGCAAAAAAGAGTAATCCTAGGTCATTCTCGATCGAGAATTATCCTCCGGCATGTTACTATATTTTAGCTTATGAATCACAATGTCAGCAAACGTGACAGGGACCTTAAAGTGAAATCTTGTTTGTATACGCACTTATCTTTTTTTTTTGATGTCGAAAACATTTAAATGTTGAATTATATTTCTGGAACTTCATGATCTATTATCGCAATTCTCGTGTAATATTATTGATTTTTTTCTCTTAAACAAAAGACTTTTTCCCTTGCGTACAAGAACAATTACTTCATGTAAGCGTATTTTGTTAAGATAAACAAAAATTAACAGCATCATAACGTACAGAAACAAGATGTGTTTATGAAACACTATGCCCCTGGTTGCAACCAAATTCTGAAGTGGGACATTAAACTTTCCTATGATGCATTAGTTATGGCCAATGTTAATGTTAACTTTTTTCCAAATGTAGGTCAAAGTTCACGATTTTTTTATCCGAGGACATAAAAAGGAAACTATATCTGATATCACATCGATAGTGCAATGTCTCATGATAACTTGCAATAGCGTCTTTTCAACTATATAATTACTTCCAGATAACAATATTACATAAACTGAGATTAAATTCGTGCAATACTATTGCTACTGTAACCAGGAAGTTTGGAGAATTGAGTTCATAAGATAAGTTTTAACATTCTTCGTATACTGGAAATGAAGATACATATGACATATTTTGGATCTATAAACTTATGAAATGATTCGGAGAATGCGGATTCAGGGGGTGGGTGGTGATCTTCATCATGTATGCTCATTTTAAACAGAAATTGAAAACAACAATAAATCATACCCTCCCCAACTTCTAAAATTATTGGAATAGCTGTGTTAATATTCACAAGAAATAAAGGATATCGATATTCTGTCTTAAAAAATAACTATCGCAGCAAGACAGAGTAACTTTTACCGGCTGAGGCTAGTTCTCAGGATACCAATCTATACTTAAGTCTGTTTTATGATCTCGAGGCAAGTCAATAGTGAGTTCGAGGGTATTGATTTAAAGCTTGCTGTAAACGTTCATGATTTAGAGTTCCTCTTATCTTAGCATTTTTCGTGCTTTTAGGTGTAATTTCACTAACTGTCGCTTTTCGATATTTTGGTTATAAGTTACAATTATTATTGTTGCGTGAAATGATCATTGCGCTAATTTGCCAAAAGGTGGTTAAGCGCTTAAGTTTCATTATGCTAAATTTATGATGTTGTCACAATAACATGTCTTTTGTTGCTGTTGTAACAACGTCACAATTTCCCTTGATGTCTCTGTACAATATGTTATGTCTGTTTGCGTGACCTCCAGGTTTGTAGCTTTTGACAGAATAATTAAGGGTTTGTTCTGTTACTGACCACATCATATCTAACTAAGATAGCCATAAATAATCCCGTGTCGTAAAACTGACATTGTTCTTTGATAAGCCAATATAACGAGGATGTATAAAGAGCTGTGTTATTTCGCAGAACAATGTGACACTACATTTGAAAAATTATTGTTAACTATTAAGAATTAATGTTCTGTAAGAAACATGCCGCACAATGTTTTTACCTCATCATAATACATACCGCAGAAACTAATCAAACTAAAACACTAAGATAATTATTCATCCAACTAAGCTGTCGCGAATATAAATAATCATGCCCCTCTCTCATCATCTCCTCTTAGTGAAGAATTTTAAAACTGAGAACTTTCCACATACTATCGACTAAATGTGACAAATATCTCGCACCATACGCCATTTACCCAGGCCTTCTACGAGTTGCTGGATTACGGAAAACCTTAATAGTTCTAATATTACCGTTAAGTGTATGCTTCCTCGAGTTACAACAATACTTTACATGATTTTCAAACATTACGATTCAAAATGAAGCATTATGATATAATATTTCGGGCCAATCAAACTAAATTAGACTGCATGCTTACTGGTTTTTAGAAAAAATCTGAACTGCTTAAAATAATAGCAATTCAACAAAATACAATGAGTTAAATGTACAGAAACCAGATACTGCTGTTCTCTTTAATCTTCGCGGAAATGTTATTTTAATTGATTTCGTCGGTTCTCTTTATCACCAAACTGATATGTTCATGGATTATCAAAGTTAGAATAAATTATAAGTATAAGTTTTGATGTATTTTATCTTTTTATCTTTTGTATTTTATGTTTAATCTCGACGAAAACAGGATTTCACAGAACTTTGTAATAACCGCCGTTACTTGGGGTCAAGACGACCTGCAGTAGTCATAACGTTTATACATTCACACATACGTGCTGTCATAATCAGTCCAGTATCATTCATAACGCATAATTTATTTGTCAAGAAATTTAAGTAGACAATATGTTACTTGAAAATTATGTTAAGTGTATTTTCACCAAACAAATTAGACATGTGATATGTGCATGTTGTATAGGGGGTTAACATAGACGTTTAAATAGTGTAAGTATATCCACTGTTTAAAGAAATTCAACATTCATGGGACAAATATTGATGTCAAATGAGGACAGAACTGTATTGCATGTTTATGGATTTTACAGCTGTTTCATTGATGCAGATAAACATGTAATATTTTTGAAATCGTATCGAAAAGTATAAAAGAAAATTTAAGTAACGGTAAATATGAATATTAATTATTATTTTATGGTTTAATTTACATGCTACATGACAGATATTGTCGATGAAACGGAGACCCTTAATCTTCTGAAACGTTTGCCGTATTCAGATTGTAGGTTTTAAGTTTCTGATTGTGAAAAAAGTTATTTATTTATATTTTGTCCTCTTTTTGAGTGTTTCTAGTGATTTGGTTCAAATGTTAGTATTCCCTAGATGCTATATTTCGTATTCTTATCTTTCAGATGATTAACTTTGGTTTGGTTTCAAAGTGTGATATGCCTACCACTATAAAGCTTAAAGATTACAATATAATTTTCTGTCATGCATCATGTCTTTAAATCTTTTGTGTTGGATTAACATCAAATTGGGAAACGGATTTGACTTTGTTTGTAGAAATAGCAAATGCGCATAACCTGATGTCTTATATCAATTTATGCTATATATTAAAATTCCTCGGTATAAGATAATAGTCTGTTCTGTTTCTATATGAAAGTTCATGACGTTGAATTCATATAGTTTTAACAAGTTTGAAAAGGAGAAAAGGCAATGCGAAAATGCTAAGACAGCAAGTTCTATCTTTACAAATGATTGACAATGATTGGTTTATATTTGATTTTGGACGTTATACGTACAAAGGAATCCTACCTTGTGTGTTTGGAAACATCTGGAAACCGGCCGTGGACGCGAGGCCTACCCATATTAGAGTGACCAATTGCACCACTTGTATCCACATGCCCGTGAATTCTGTAGAGTCCTGCTCCGCACCTGTGTTTAAGACCTGGGTTTCTTTAAACACTCACGGTGGATATAAAGGTGCCTGTCTGGACTAACACAGATACCGCTGTAAGAGGTGTACATCTGTGGCGGACAGACACGATTGATGTCAAAATGTGTGTGCTGTGTCACCTACAGTCTAAATGTATATTTGCTGAAGGGCAATGTTAGTTGCTGTTTATCAAACACTGCATCTAAATAGTTAAAAATAATTATTGACTCATTTAGTTGCCTCATTTCCTTGACTCATTAAGGTAATTTTTTTTTTTTTTTTTTTTTTTTATAATTTTCAAAACACAATTTTAAACGTGCATTATGCTGGGTATATTCCACAGCTACAATTACTGTAAATGGAAAATGTATTAAGCGAAAAGATCTCAATCACATGGAATGCGAACAGCTGACACACAAAGTTACAACAGGGGTTATTTCGGAGCTGACAAATAGAATTGCAATGACAACAGGAAGGTTTCAATGTCACCTTGTTTTAAACCAAGGGATATGAATTCCAAACACTTGGCCATACGTTTTTCTATTATAAAGATAAACCTTTGAATCTTTGCAACGTCTGTTTTTGTGTTTGGTGCCGTATGTCATCACCAAACGATACACATATCAAATAAACAATAAACCGGATTGAATTGGATACCCTTATTCTAACAAAGCACATGTTTTATAAAAGCAGTTTTGCATGTCTAATACTGATAAGTAATACAAGTCTCCTGCAGTATTTAAAAGCGTGGCACATAGAAAATTAGTATTTACTTAAGAAAAAATGCAAGCTTCTGAATTTTCACGAGGTCCCAGGACTGGCAGACCTCAAAAGCAGTTATCCTTTTGTGTTTGACAGAAGAGGACAGTTGAAAATCAATTTTCGCGTTAGCAAGCAAACCGTCAACATCCGTAAACTCTGATGTAGACTCTACGCTGTAAGTTTCACTTGTATGTCCTTGATGGAACTTAACTTGGACAAAAGACTAGATCCTCCAGTTCCGTATTTCGCTGCCAATCCATTCGCAGTTTGGCCTTTCCTCGTAGATGGCAATGTCAAACCACAGAACCCTCCCTTCAGCACGAAAAAATACAGAAGCTCTTATGGTCTGCAATGTCACCAGACATAGACCCAGTTGAGCATGTGTGGGAATATTTCGGATAAAAAGTCGATGCACAGAATCCTATTGCTAAATAATTTACGGTTTGCATAACAATCAGGAACGGCAGATTTTTATAAGAACTAACGTTTGTTCAATAAAAGGAGACGATGGACAAAATAACTATTAGACGCGCGGTGACTACACCCGGAACAGACATTTTCATACCCAATTAAACTCATTGGTTAGTTGAACTTCTTGATTTAGTAACATGTTTGGTAGTTGGCGCCATATCTGTGAATAAAGACAGACAAATAACAGCGTGTCCAATCGCCACATCGGGTCTCAAAAATGAATACACATGGGTGTACAAATCGAAGCGTGTAAAAACGAGGTCAGAAACGAACTTCATATCGTTCTGAATATATGATCATTTTGTACTTTTCGTATAGCGCACGGACCGTATTTTGGGTATCTTTTAAGGCCAGAACTAAGGTTAATTTTAGTATAGTTAATACTAAATTCTCGAAAAACATTGGCCGGTCTGAACAAATGTTTATGTTTCTCTTTTGAAGCTGGCTTTCCTCTCATTTCTAACAAATGCATCATTACAATCAAGTGTTGGGTATGAAGACTTTTTCATATAGAACACATCTGAATATAAATTTTGATTCCTTCGGCTGTAGACTTTCTGAACAATGATTATTTATTTATTAGATATCTCATGCGGACACAGGATTTCTAAAGGTGTGAACCAGAGGGTGTCTAAACACAATTGATATTTTACATTTTCTGACCAATATTGCCAATGAAAGTTATTTTTTATATTGTAAAATTCGGAATTGATGTAACTGAAGGAAGTTGACCTTATCCATATTTATCTTCACTAATCCAATTTGGAGAACTGGTAAATATTATTAACATAACTAAAGTAAGCTTCCGCAAAGCATACTGAACATAAATGCATACTATGCATATGTTTGTAAGTAGGACAACTTCTAAATGGGTGACATACATGTACGTCCATGTATTTGTGGACTTTGCTCTTACATCATTTATAATTATCAAAATGTTATCAAAATTACAAAGAATTACATGCTGACGTTGGAATAATTGCAAACGCCACGGTCACTGCTGTTCACCCATTTGATTATAAATATGGTAAACTTAATAATTATGATACCAAAATGTGTTTGATGAAGGGTATTTTGATTCAAAACATGTCGAGTAGAACTTCTAGTTATAAATCGGAACCCGGATCTTTTCCCGAAAGTTTGTTAGTAAGAGTAATGTCCCTTGTTTCAAAAGACTGGCCTTGGTTAACCGTGTTTGGTGAGCCTCGCCTACATTCGCCTCACTCGCTGAGCAAGGTATTCGTGTAATGAAATGAGACTAATTTTTAATACATATTTCGTCACAAACATATTTCGTTTCAAAGTTGATATGTTTCTCTCATCTTTGTCATTGGTTTTTGTCGATGAAGACTAAATTATTTCTTTTTTAAGAAAGTCTTTTTTAAATGATACAGCACTTCCGGTTCCGTAAGTTTATTTTCATATCGACTGTGTATGGTTCTAATGGATGTCTAAACAACAAATCCTATTGAGTTGTCATCGAATACTATAAGCCTATTGAGAAGTGCATATTTCCTAGTGTTCCATTAACCGATAAACAGTTTTTTACTAGACTGCATTGACCTTCCCTCTACTCGAGAATATTTTTATCGTAATGTCTAAAGACCCTTTTTGAAACTGATGAGGTTGGTAAAATTCTAGGTTATCTGAAAGATGTTGGTCTGTATGATAGACCATGACTAAACATTTTAATTTTAATCATGATAATATAACCATTTAAGATTTTTAGCATTTCCTTTTTACCTTTAGTTTGTTTGATGCTAGTTCTTTTTTTGATCGCTGTTTTTCACCGGTTGATGGCCATAATGACCTTTTATGGGTTGACGGCCCGTTAAAATTGTAATAATTATAATAGTGTAACATAAATTTGAAAGTATGCTTCTTATGGTATGATTTTGTTCTCTATGATTTTGTGATATTTTTCGGTGGACCTTCCTGAAGACTTGCATTACCACAGCAAGATTCTTGTATTTCAACGTCTTATTGACATTACGGGGATTGCAATACAGTCTTCCCATAACCATTGTAACTTTTGTACAATGTTTGAGATTGCAAGTGATAGACACTGCTGGCGAGCTTTTAGTCCTCGAGGTTTTGCAGCAAACTATATGCTAGTTTTCATTCATTCGAATAATGGCACATTTCATAATATACACATGTACTTGTTCTTAAATTGTTAGAAACATAAAATTTACAAAATTAATTGTATTATAAGGTAGTGCACCTCCCAATCTAGATTATGGCAATTTTTCGATCACTTTGGGGTTTCTTCAGTCGCCTCCTAGGCTTCAAAATTTAGGTCCTGGCATCACAACTGAATCTTTGACGGAATAGCTCTATGATAGTTTGTTTCGCTCTATCATATCTTACTCTAATGTTGTATTTTTCTTGTATGCTTTTCTTTTGTGTGTCGTTTGTACGATAGTTGTAAACTCTAAAGCACTATATATTATAAGTATGTCTATTTCATCTGTTAGTGATCATTTGCAAGACCCTTTTTGAAACTGTTGAGATTTATAAAGTTCTAGGTTTGTCTCTATTATAGAATATGACTTACCAATTTAATCTTTTGTGATAATCTAACCATTTAAGATTTTTAGCATTTATCTTTTACCTTTTAGTTTGTTTGATGTTATTTCCTTTCTGGATCGCCGTGTGTTTCACCAATTGATGGTCCTAATGACTTTTTTTCGTGTTGACGGTCCGTTAAGATTGTAATACTAATAAAATAATATTAATATTAATATGTAGTTGTAGCAAACAATAATATGATACCTTTTGTACTTTAAATTGTATGTGTATTATTAATGTTTGTCAGCAATTGAATCCAATTGTTATATTTGTATTTGCGACGATTAAAATTGATTTCTCTTTCTCTAATATGCTACATGTATTGTTTACATATACATACAAACATTACTTCATCATTTGTCACGATGTTTATGTTCGGCTATGATATAATATATGTTATGTGGATTTTATAAGCCATGCTATGTTTTCAGAAGCGCTTAAATTTGATAGAGGATATGAATTTATTCATGAAAAGCATTATGAGTAATAATCATTATGACAACTTTCCTTAGCTTCCTTGTAATGTTGTTAGCACCATGTCAACATCTACGTTATAAATGCCACGTTCTTCTAGATAAATGATGTACGTCATAGTGTTAGAACATATTCACCTAGGTCATATAGTAACATCCTAATCCACTTTGTCATTACAGTGTGTTCTAATTATGACGTTACCTGCATGCCCCGTTTTAATTCTGTCTAATAGTGACACGGTTCAGCATATGCATACGTATCTCATGCTACTCAAAATTGTCTGATATACGAAATTTATTTGATGATATGACTGCTGCATCTCTCCGACTACATTTTGACTTTTCTTTCGATCACTTTGGATTTTTTACAGTCGCCTTCTCGACTTAGGGCCTTAGCATCACTAACGAGTCATAGAAGGACGAGATAGCTGTACTATGCAGTATACTTCATTATATTGTTCTACTGAATCTAACTCTAAATCATTAAAAGGTGCTGTTCACTTATGTGCTTTTTGTACAATTCTTAAATCCTCTAGCGGATGTAATATTGCATGCCTGAATCCTATTGTCACACATGTTTCAATATTTCCAACTGTCTCATTTGTTATATTGTCTTCATAGTGTCTACGACAGTCATAATTAACGTCCACATCCGAATTGCCTTGATATGGAGGACAGTCTATACTCTTGTATCTCGTCTGTTCTAAATTCTTTTCATTCTCTTTATCGTTTTAGTTCAATAGCAACGACAGTTCAATCCGTCGAATGTTTCTTTCATTGCGTCCATATTTCAAAACCTTCGTGCTGCAGTATATGAAGGTTATATGAGAGTTCAAACTATTGACTGTTTTTTCATTGATATCAAAGCAGTATCTATGTTGATAGGTGATAAATGTTTGTGGATAAAAGGTTCACACTTATAGGAGATACGAGATAACTTTATTCCTCTGATATATTACGGCATATTGTTTCATGTAAATTTACGATAGAATGTTGAGGAAATATAAAAATGGAAATGTTTAGAGACATTAGAGAGGGAAGCATGTTCACTATTAGTCGTATACACTACAAAACAGGCATTTCTGAACACTTGTAAACGTAACGGAAAACTCTTGTGTATTTTTCGTTATGTGACAACCAAGAAGTGAAATATGAATCTAGAAAAATCTACTCAGAACGCACGGATGCATTTTGTACATAAATTAAACTTACTCCCTATTTTTCGTTAGAAATTCGTGCTCACTTGCCTTAATGTAACTGACGAAGTGTATTTAGTACACAGGTAAAACTAGATATTTTCCTGTTTCCTGGTGTTGTATGTGCACTTATGATACGAAACAGTGATGTCATATTGGCCTATCCCTGGACATCATAGTCTGACAAGGTTAGACGAGATCTGATGCCTAAAGCTATCATGATGCGAGGAGATCCCCTATAACCTTACGTCATTTTTTGGTTATTTTTTAATTTTTTCAAACGTTTGCACACTTGCGCATTTAGGTATTTTTTTATCTATTGCAATGCCACTTGTCTTGTTTCTACAACACGTATATCTAAAATTCCTAATTCAGTCTTCTATGGCACTTCATAGACATTTCCAAAATTAAAACAACTGGTAATTTTGTACTTTTCCATAAAAGAATGTACATTGTAAACAAGTTTGAAAACGTTATGATTGTAATATATTTGTACTTTTCAACGATCCGATTTCAGCATCAGTTTTGCAATATCTATGCCATATAAGGAAAACACAAATCGGTACAACAAACATATCATCATGTCATAATGGGCAAGCGCTTGTATAACATTTTGCACGTGGAAAGTTTTAGGTCCTCACCTGAAAAACGGAAAAAATGTGACGAAATGTAAATAGCAACGAAATGAAATTTACGTGGTCTCTTTTTATGCTAATTCTAAATTTGTATGGAGAGGTGGTATTCACCGACATATCTTCCGTACCGTCTTTAAGAACTATGACCCATTGAATGGGATTTCCGATGGTTTTTGCTCAATGGAGATTTTATCCAACATAGGTGATAGAGTGATGCTTGCTTAAATTTGTGTTCCTGATAATTTGTCTCACTTTTCACTTTAATATTAGGAATCTTATTTGTACCTAAAAGTGCGTATTCCATTTTAATTGATAAAGAAGTCATATCTTCGGCTGGGTTTGTTTCCGTCAGTCTCATTCGTCATGTAAACACTTAAAAAAGTATACTCCCTAATAATTTATGTGTTTTCCAAGTGATGTCACTAGTATAATAAACAACGAGCATCTTAATATATATTGACGACGCCTGTCAAAAATCGATTGTCATGCCATAATATTGACAATGACGTCACGTGTTTGGCGCAACAAAATTGCTTCTTACCTTTGTGTCTCTTCTTATTCTTCGTATCAAATTTGTAACATTTTTGAATTAAAAGGCTCACAAAAATAAAACTTCGTGAATTGCTGGTGATGAAGTCTCATAAAATGACCACCAAAATTAGGATCCTATATGTTTTCAAATATAAATTGTTTGCAAAAAATCTTCTTGTTCATGATTTTGTAATTAATAGGATGTTACATTTCCTTGAAGTGAAGTTTGGTTGAGGGAAATACTTTACTCTTCGCTACCTTAGTCAGGGTACAGTTTGCATGAGTGAATATTCTTTGCTATGACCGTTATTAAGACACAGACAAATTAAAAGTGTCAAGTACGTGCCAACGGATTAAATTTACGAGAGAAACAAACTTTTAAACATTTTAATTAATCTATTAAATACTGAGTTGTTTCGTACTCTGTTAGCTTATTTTCTTAATATAGACCGAGGGTTGTCATTAGGAAGACTTTCAAAACATTGTGGTTTCATAAAAAGGTAGATGATTGATTTATATAAATCCTCTTTTTTAATGGAGAGGGAAAAAATTCTCGAAAACAATTAATTAATGTTATATAAAACAGAGAAATGTAGAATAAATGTAGGAAACTAACTAGTGTTTTAGAGTTAGGAAAAGACAGAAGCAACACACTAGTAATGCATTGCACACATGTCACATATCATGTACATGTATATTGTAATATCGCTCTTTGCACAAAAGCAATATTTTCAAGCAGGTCAGTATGTGTGATATTGATTAATATCGGCTGTTTTTTCACGATCAGAACAAGACTTTTACATTATCATTTCAGGCATTATCAGTAACAAGGTGTAAATGTATATAGTTAAAACGAGAAGCCGAATCGAGTTGTATACCTTGATGGACATGTGCATGGCAGGTCGTATGCGAACTCGTGTATAATACTATCCAAGGAAATGTCACTGCATATCTCAATGTTTCTGTATTTTTGTTTTAACAGAGATTGCGTACAATAGGTAATTATATTAAATCCGAATTTATTACAAATTTCGCAGCAAAGGGAAAATATTAAAATTCAAATCCAACGCATGCGTAATGTACCGATTCTGGACAACACATGGTAGGCAGAAAAGAATTTTCCTTGTAATCTTCACAGTTTCCGTAGCTCACGTGTCCTCTCGGACACATGAAGTGACATTTGCAATACTTAAGCCACATTGGCGACATGCATTTTTTGGTAACTGGCTTTTTTTGTCCTTGGCCGAGTTGGCCAAACATACTCGCCATACCCGTGCCTCCCATATTAGTCCCCATTCCGCCTGAAAGTAAACTCCCCATTCCGCCCATTCCGCCCATTTCGGCTCCCATTGGTCCTCCGAACAAAGATTCCATTCCACCCATAGCATTTCCTGCGCCACCCATTCCTAACCCCATCATGCCTTCGAATCCACCCATGGTGCCTCCAGTTCCTCCTGTTCCACTTCCAAAGAAACTATCCATTCCACCCATGCCTCCTCCAGTCATTCCCATTCCACTTCCAAATACACCTTCCGTTCCACCCATAGCGAATCCTGCCGATCCGTCCATTGCTCCGCCCATTAAACCTCCCATGCCGCCCATCGATCCAGCTCCAGTGTCGGTAGCCATAAGACCACCGCCAAACAAATCAGGACCTATAATATAATATAATATAATATAATATAATATAATATAATACGAAACGCCAAAAAAGTCAATTAATTTACACCTGGACAAATGTTTTTAAAAACAACCCTCTATACGGGCATTTTTTCAGAGACCTTAACATGCATCTGTATGGTGCACTTCAGTCTTTTGGTTGGCGAAGGTATTTCTTATTATACGATTTACACTGAGAAGAATATACTTAGTTTTGTGTGTGTATGTTTAATTTCTTACCATTCTGCGAATGCTATCTGACACATTGCGATTATGACTCATACTGGTATTTCATGGTTGGTTGCATCTTGATTACACGTTTTTGGGTCAACGCGCAGAGACGTATGATATCATTATACTTTTATATTGTGAGAATATCAGCAAACATGTTGTAGTAACATGATCTAGAGAAAGTCATCTAAAGCAATTCCAAGACGTAACGAATCTAATCCAAAATCAAAGACATTTTGTCTTCTTTTACTTCTATGTAAGGTAGTTTTATTACCACATCTATACAAATCGACATCAATTTTCAAATGTCGCATTTCCAGGCAATTATTTGTATTTGAATTTAACCATAAGTCATATGATAGGTAACAAATATTATCTTGGTCAATCGAAGTAACATGCTCGGCAGCGAAGCTACGAGAATACCGTCTCCCAATATCTTGCAAATGCAGAACACATGGCAATTTGTCACAATCAGAATTACTGATAATGCCCTACATATTCCTCAACATAAGATGAAATTAATCGCTAATGTTAACAAAAATAATATATCTGTCACAAACATGGTATTCGGTTTATTCAGAATGGTGCCTACTAATGTAAGCATTCTATGAAATATAGTGTGTTCCTCAATTGACAACCAAAACCAACTGGTTTAGTTTTATGTTTACCAATGATAACCCTGTTGTTTGTTCTAAAAGGTCTCTATTTGCAGGTGAATCAGAATTAGCGTAACACTGTGCTCGAAAGACGTAACACTATAGCAGGAAGCTGTAACGCGTTGGTGGAGAAGGTGTAACGCGATGGTGAAGAAGTTGTAACGCAATGGATGGTGGAGGTGTAACGCGATGTTGGAGAAGGCGTAACGCGATGGTGGGGAAGGTGTAACGCAATGGTGGGGAAGGTGTAACGCGATGGTGGAGAAGGTGTAACGCGATGGTGGGGAAGGTTTAACGCGATGGTGGAGAAGGTGTAATGCGATGGTGGAGAAGGTGTAACGCAATGGTGGAGAAGGTGTAAGGGTGGAGAAGGTGTAACGGGATGGTGGGGAAGATGAAACGCGATGGTGGAGAAGGTGTAACGCGATGGTGGAAAAGGTGTAACGCAATGGTGGAGAAGGTGTAACGGTGGAGAAGGTGTAACGGGATGGTGGGGAAGATGAAACGTGATAGTGGAGAAGGGGTAACGTGATGGTGGGGAAGACGAAACGCGATGGTGGAGAAGGTGTAACGCGATGGTGGAAAAGGTGTAACGCAATGGTGAAGGTGTAACGCGATGGTAGATAAGGTATGACGTTATGGAGGGTAAAATGTGACGTTATGATAGGGAAGTTGTGACATTATGGTAGATAAGATGTGACATTATGGTAGATAAGTTGTGACGTTATGGAGGGTAAAATGTGACGTCCTGATAGGGAAGTTGTGACATTATGGTAGATAAAGGGTGACGTTATGGAGGGTAACATGTGACGTTATGGAGGGTAAAATGTGACGTTATAATAGGGAAGTTGTGACGTTATGGTAGATAAGGTGTGACATTATGGTATGTAAGATGTGACATTATGGTAGGGAAAAGATAATGATATTTTAGGAAAAGATGACAACGATATGATTTAGTTTGCTCGTCAAATTACGCTCTTCGGCTATAACAAGTGATTATGTAACAACGAAATATGAATTCTTTACATATTTACATAAAACACAGCTTAAAGTTTATTTAAGGATCCTCTAGTAAATTAAAATATCATTGTTTTCACAAAGGTTGGCTTAACAGTTGATATTTTAAACTGACATAAACAATGTTCAATCATTCTGTATGACATGAAAGCTTTTATATTAATAAATTAATGCACGTGCGGCAGAGAGTAGTATCATCAATATATAATGATAACTAACATTTTGCAAAAAATATTAAAAGGTTAGTCACAACGATAACTGTAAATATTTGAAATTAAGAATATGGTCGACTTTAACAAGTCAAACAGGCCAATAAAAAATACTCACCAAATATAAAGCCACGTGCAATGTGTAGGAGAGCAAAGACGATGAAGAGGATATTTAGCCTGGAAGACTGCATCTTGATGATAGTCGGCAAGCCGTCTGCTGAAAGGATATTTTATGCTCAGCATATAGAGTAAAAAGTTAGTGTTGTATTTGGGGCACCCACAGGAGAATTTAAATTCCAACTTTCAGAACCATCGTAACACACAGAAATGTTTATCTTCAAATTACATAGATAATGATTACTATTTTTATGTATAATATGTTTCAAAGTTATTGTAAAAACTTAAACACTTTTTGTTCTGCTAATCATATCAATACACCCTTCTTTTGAAATATCCTCTAAGGTGTAAAACAGTTGTAAAACGGTGTTCAACAATCAAAATAGACGACTTTTCTTTATTGCATGAGGTAAACATGAAACAATAATGATGATAAATACGTAGCCAGGGGAGGTGCTAGGCGACTGCTGTCGAGTCAGCTTGACATAACACACGAACATTAACCTTCAGTGTCTTTGCATGACAGTCTTAATTGGAAGGAGAGCACGATGGTTCCAAGAATATATACATTGCTTAAGTAAATGGACCAAAACAAGATACACATATGACCATTACATCATGATTTGTGTACATAACCTTTCATCTTTGCGTTATTGCCCTTCTAACTCTCTGCAAATTTAATTAAAATTAAGCATTTATTTTGCTAGTCTTACAGATGCTTTTCAGGAGACCTCAGATAAAAGGAAACTTCTTCATAATATTTTTTTTCATTTATCATTTATCGAACCTCTTCATGTTCAACTGAAATTGTTGGATATTTTTGTAAGTCCCCACTAGAACCAGTCATGTGTCAGGAGGCATTATTTACATATTTAGTATATAAGACATAAATACACAGCCTATAAATAGTGGTCCGTCTTACATATGTATTTCATAAATAGATTAATTGAAATCTAGTTAGTTATGTTGACCAAATACGCGTGAGCTTTCAAGCAAGACCACCCACCATACTGAGTCGTTGGGGATATCTCGTATATTCGTGCATTTACATATTCATCACATTAACGAGCATAAATGATTAGTTTAGACATAGCCACTGACCCCTTAGAAATAAGTAGTGGTCAGGTTATTTAAGAATGATAATGAATTTATCATTTTGAGATACACGTTACAAACTCGAGAGCTAGTTCAATGATTCAACTTTTACAGATCTATCCTATCAGAAATTAAAGTTTATTTGTTTTGTTGTTTATTGTGTTTCTTTAGATTGTTCGACTTTTTAATTCTTCAATAATAGGACATTACATGCCACGTTCTGGAACAAAGGGGGTTTCTTATGCTCCAACACAACAAATCACTGATGCATGACCAGGTATACATGCTAGAGACATATGAAAAATGCCCCAAACCCAGTAAAAAGATTAACTGGAAATATTTGTGACATATTAATATCCATTTTAAATATTCTAAGAAAACAATTCAGCGTTAAACTGTGATGACTTTCTCATTTTAGAGCTAATATACCATGAAATTGTAACGATATCTATCTAACTGGAATTAACAATATGGGACTTTTTGCTGCTTGTCCTCTGGCTCCTTGCAACAGACAATATTGCGCTTCGTCTTTGGGAGGAGTTTAACAGCATGTCGGTAGGATCTTGCTTTGTCACTTTCTCAAGCTTGAAACTGAAGCAGTTCTTTTTTATTTGTTCCGTAGACAGTGTATACAAAAACGTGCGCATTTTGTCCGCGGTGATGATTTACTTCACAGCTGGATCATTTGTTGAACGCGAATTCCGGACGTGTGGACCCATACTTAATCATCGATGCCAACCCATCTATTCACCAACTACTGCTATTAATATCAAATACTGATAAGGAATTTAATCACTGTCTGGGATCGTTCATATTACGGAAAATTCTGTTTTGAAGCTGCCATGACGTTTTCTGCTCTTTACGTGGGAGTTTCACAGGCGCCTGCTGTAGGGATTTAAATCCGTGTTCTTTTCTTTTTGACCGAATTATCAAATAGAGTTTCATCAGGACAAATTCCGCTACACGTAACGGGAGTTTGCAGTGAATATCTTAAACAAAAACCAAAGGTAACGTCATATATTCCTGTACTCTTCCCAGGAAAAATGTTTGGTGTGAATTTTGCAGGTCGTTAAGGCCAAATGCTCACTGAATTAGTTTACCTGAAGTGCACGAACAAAATTCACATAGGCGACATTAGGTGATTACCTAACCATCTTCCTGTATCATTCTTTGTTATAAATGAATCTTAATTCGAAAGTCAACGACTAGTTCAAAATTTCACTATTTTCGTTAAAGTCTTAGAATCTCGTTACACTGTGACGGGGCCATTTAACGGAAGAGATAATTTATGTGTGTTTAGTAACTTTATTTGTTTGTATATTTTACCATTTTCCTTCAAAAATATGTAACTATTTTCTTTTCGAAATGAATGGTGCCACGTCAGCAGCCTTTATGCAAGATAACAATTGTGGAGAGATTGTACACAGGATATGCAATATAATAGTACATTTATCATAAATTTAGAATTAGATATGAGGAAGCCGAATGATAGATGGATTAAACTGCATCATACTGTTTCATCCTTTAAAAATGATTACAAGTAATGTCAGAATCCAGATATGGAGTTACATTACCCTATAATTAAATATATATGAATAAATTTCGCTATGAATATGTATTACATTTTAGTCTATCTCTTGCAATTTCAAAAATACGCTCATGCCATATAAATGCTTACCATGTTTAGCATTAATCTAAGAGGAGAACGATGATGGTATTTTTACATCACTTTGTGTACAGTAGCAATAAATGGAAAAGATGACTTTGGTTTCCACCCTGATGTGTCTACCACTTTAAAATGGTACAGAATACGCCCTTTGATATATATTAAGAATTTAATATAGTAGATTCAAACGAAGGATTCCACCGCATCATCTAATTATTTCTAAGACTCGTCGGTGATGAAGATCTTTGATGACCTAGTTACCATACACGACGGGCATTACAAGAAAGCCTCCAGTGGTCCTTGTTTCCTATCACTGAAGTATACTTCCCTGATCCAGACTAAAATCAGCATTGCTAGTAAGGACAAAAGTGCTGCATTACCTGACAGCAGTAAGACAAATGTTTACATTATGTGTGTACAGGTATGAATTAAGTGACTGTAAAGTAGATCCATTATATATCATTTCCCTCAGTGTTTGTTAAGATTTGGAATATAGCACTCTTCAACAAATACCTATAAGTTCAAATTGGTATTCATATGAATTATGAGGTAGAAGATAGCTTATTACTGTCACTGTTAGTGCTGGTTTAAAAGACTGAAAAGTACTACTAGATATAGGGATGACATTTGTAACAATTACGGACACTTTTCATTATTTTTAAACATGTTTATTAGTTTTTCTTGTTTTTACAGGTAATTGGCTTCATTCAGCAGATAGAGTTATGCTCTACACTTAAGATTAAGCTCAGCAAGTCCACTTCACACACCATTCACAACAAATAAGTTTTGTATATTTAAGACGCCTATGTTTATTGTATTCATGGACTTATTATGGTACATGATTCAATTCATAGAACATTGTTTTAAAAATGCATGTATAGTTAAATTAAAAATATCTAACCTTTTTATTGTATAATTTGCAATGTTTTAGGTGATGACTTACTATTTTTACATTTAAATCACATGTGAATACATGAATCATTATGTTACATCGAAACATCAGTGATATGTATTACTACGCAATCATTAACATTTAGGAACAGGCGATACTATATGTATGATATCTTTTATTTCTAATAAATTGAATTGTAGTTGGTTACCTTTGTTCAAAGTTAAACGAGCACAAACTGTGTCATTCAATTTTCATTATATTAACACAAAACAAAGCACGGTACACATATTCGGATGAAAAATACATATCTATATATAACATAGTGGTGTTATTAATATCACAAATGCTAAAGCAGCATAGTATCAAACGATTGATAAAAAACAAACAAACAAAAACAAAAACAAAAAAAAACAAAAATGTAGCTTATTTTGGTAATGTAGTTGATAATATTCGCGGGGGTTTCATTTCTCTATATTTGGTGTTATTCAAGATAGCGCGAAATTTATTACCCAATCTTTTACATTGTATCAAAATCTTGGAAGTGTTTGCAATATTTGAAATCTAATATTCATGAATTTGACCAGGAACAACCGCGAAATAAATAATGGATATATTATATTGTGTATATCTGTATTATAGTATTATTATAGCAATTGATTAATATAACTTATATACATAAGTAAAACTATTTGATAACAAATATGAAGTACATATGTAAAGTAAGAAATGCTACATAATGTTCAAATTACAAACACATAAAGGTTACAGTTCCATGTAAACATTTTCTGTACAATATGTAGTGGTAAGTTTTTCTTGTGCTACATGTACATGTATTTGTTTAAGTATCTTATATAAACTTGGATATAAATACACAGATATATTTCACAGTTTCGACTCCACCGTCTCTACAGTAGCTTTGGTTTCGATATGTTCAGTTCCATTCTTCAAAATGCCTTTAACACTGTTATTCCCTGATTCATCCTTTACCGGGTCTTTCTGTAATATTTTGTTCAGCTGCAGTGAATTTACTTTCTCTTTGTCATCGATAGCAATGATATCATGTGTAAACTCGTATTTCTCTTTCTGTACCTCATCTTCATAGTTAAAAACTGTGTTGTGATACCAGTTTGGTTCTCGAGATTCCATTCGTGGTATTTCGCTAACTTCTTTGTCTTTTAAATTTGTCATAGATGGATGACTTCCCAGTTTAAATGGATGTTTTCCTTCCCTTAAACGTCGTTTAGCACGAATTACAAATGGAATCAGTAACGCCATAAATACTATAAATAGAACAAGCACTCCAGCAAAAATGGCGGCGCCCATGGAATAATCAGACTTGCTCTTGTCCTCCACACGCTTGTCTAGATGCACGGCTAACGGCAGGGCGTTAGAGATGATTTTATGGTCTCTATCCCTGATCAAAACTACCTAAAACAAGTTTTACAACCCATAAATAGTACATTATATCACATTGGTAATATAAATATTATAAACAGATGTACAAATTCTCATAATGTTTTAAGATATTTAAAATTTTAAAAAAAGTTTAGAAACAGAAATAAATGAGAATCATAGACCCTTCGAGGTTTCATTGAAAACCTTTATATAGAAAGTAATAACACACTAAATGATATGAAAAAGGAAAAGCATAACAAAAACGCGTTACCGAAAATGAAACTGGAAGATAAAAATTGAAATTTCAATTGCGATTAAAGTAAATAAAAATCAACGTCGTGTCGCGTTTTGGGAAAAAAATTTAAAAGTCGATTGTGTTATTAATAAGTTGATTTTATATTATACTTTTTCGAACCTTTATAAAAGGGAGGTAACTCAAATCTCGGTCTCAAACTCCCACTTGATCTTGTCAAAAAAAGGCAGAAAATGGTTGGGCAAGACCGTTTCTCCACTGGAGTAGAGTTTCTTGTTTTAGGACCATACGATTATCATTGTGGAAGGTAGACAACTTTGTTTAATGTACCATTTCCTAGTCTTTGATGAGCTTCGCTCGGGCACATATTGTGCCCGAAAGCTGTGGTCTTATTATTCATTTTCCAGAAATATACTAATTAACGTGTATATACTTACATTGAAGATAACTTCAGTAGATTCTTCTAAATCCTCAGAGTTATTTACTACCAGGAAATTATCTTCATCAATCATGAATGCGTCTGTACCAATAACAAAGAAGCTGGTGTTGACCTAAATATCAGAATGATGGGAAACGCTTTAAATCAATGCAGATTATACAGAAATCCAATCCATTTCCTTATAAGTAAATGTGAATGAGCGCCGAGTATAGTAACATAACAGCATAATTTAGTGCATTTGGCTACACTTAACAAACATAGATTGTATATATATTATATCTACTTCATCGGTTCTTATTTAGATAACCTTCCATTATTTTATTTATATCGAAAATTTGGAAATTACCGCTCCGTCGTCGTAAGATTTTAGAACAGAAGCCAATTCAAAGTCAAACCCTTTTTGATATCATTCACCTTTACGTCAATTACATTCTAGATCAATAATTTCTCCGCAACACTAATATCCCTGCCTGCAAGAGATAAACAGGTTCGAGCATTTGTATTACAAACTTTGTAGAGATATACTCTGAATTTCCAAATTTTCAAAACTTTCAAAATGACAAGGTAACGGCCGATGTTAGGTAATAGCCGATTTGATGGAAACAATACAACTGCTTATCAAATTTCGGTACTACATGTTATGATGGGTTTCTTTAGACCGGGACACTTAGAAAAAGGTAAGAGTTAAAAGCAAAGAAGAACTCTCGACCTGCATCTTCCCATTGTACAAGTGAAATTTCAGTTCAATGTCTCTTATAAATGTGACCTGAATTTTCTCATCGTATAATCATATGTCAAATTTCTGTTCAATATCTCATTCCGTCAACGGGGAATTAAGTTGTAGACATATTATTAAAAAATGATGGGAAAACGGCAATTGCCAACACTATATGTCCCGGTCATTTCATGTCCCGGACATAAAATATCAAAACATATTGACATACCCCGATGATATCTCCCTTTGTCACAGTCAATCGGATGAATTCGCTATTAACACCTTTCAGGATGTGTTCATCGACAGAGTGGAGCCGTACCATGGATCCATGCACGGCTTCTGGGTTTACATATCCCTCCTTTATGTCCGAGGGCTTTGTGTCGATACCATATTCATAGTTGGTATAGAGCATTTCTCCTGTTAAATAAAGGAGATATTACGTTTACGTTAGGAATCTGTTGAAGAACACCACCAGTGAAGGTTTTATGAAAGATACTCAACTGTAAGAGACAAATACTAATTTCGAAACTGTCGTTGTGTCATATTTTTTGTCTTTTGAGTTAATCAACAAGCTATAGAAAAATAATGGAATATTTTGTATTAATACTATTTATCTAATAAAGACAAGACATCGTGAAAATGTCCGCATCGCAAACGGTTTAACGATGATACCTATTCAAACTATGATGATATTCTCACTTTCTTTGATAGCATCACTATGTAAATGACGCCTAGTAGCTCACTGACGTCACAATGATGATCTTCAGCTAATGACAACTCCGCTAAGTTATATTTTACTGGTATGATAATAATAAAATTGATGGTTGTTACTACACGAAAGACCAAACTAACCATCCATCGCCAGATATACAGAGAACATTGTCGGGCAGTCAGTTCACTACTCATTCAACGTAAGAAGGATTATTATTCAGGAAAAATCACAGAATGTGGATCGGATACAAGACAGCTTTTTAGACTCACCAGAAACCTTATGGGACATACTGGTGAAATCGCCTTACCAAGCTGTTCTTCTGAAAAAATCTTGTCCAACAAGTTCAGTGATTTTTTCCAGGATAAAATCAATACAATCAGGCAAAAGATTGATGTTGTGAACTCAACTTCCGACACTGGCATCTCTGCCATGGATGCCGATATCCAATTCTCTGGTGAACCTTTGACGCAGTTCACTCCAACAACTGAAGAAGAATTGCGCAAGATCATTACAAACTCTCAATCGAAATCCTGTGAGCTGGACCCGCTTCCCACAGTTTTACTGAAGCAATGTCTTGATGCACTGCTCCCCTTGATCACCTTAATCATGAATAAATCATTAGCAGAGTCTAGGGTTCCATTGTGTTTCAAGAAGGCTACTGTAAGACCACTGCTGAAGAAGCCTGGACTGAACAAAGAAGAATTAAAGAACTACCGTCCGGTGTCAAATCTTCCTTTCTTATCTAAGATCTTGGAGAAGATTGTGTCCCAGCGACTTGAGGCTCATCTCAATGCTAACAGTCTTCATGACAACTGGCAATCAGCCTATCGCACAGGACATTCCACTGAGACGGCCCTACTCCGTGTCTACAGTGATATTGCTGCCGCTCTGGATAACAAGTGTAGAGCGGTTCTTATCATGCTTGATCTGTCTGCTGCATTTGATGTCATTGACCATGGCACACTGTTCAAGCGTCTGGAGTACTCTTATGGGGTGACTGGTGATGCATTACGCTGGACCCAGTCTTACTTGAATGAACGACGACAGTGCGTTGCCATTGGATCAACTGTTTCAGACAGCAAAACCTTAGACTTCGGAGTTCCTCAGGGGTCCGTTCTGGGACCTAGAAAATACTGTCTTTATTCGAAACCAGTCGGGGAGATTTGTCGTCGTCATAACCTTCAGTACCATTGTTATGCCGACGACACACAAATCTACATGGTTATCAGACCTCAAGACAACTGGGACATAATAGTAGCAAGTCTTGAAGCCTGTCTAAATGACATCAGTGCTTGGATGAATTCAAATATGCTCAAGCTCAATCAGGAAAAGACAGAACTGATCGTCTTTTCCCACAAGTATCAACACACTAAAGGTCTCCAGTTAAAGGTCGATGCCCAAACTATTGAGGCCGTCCAAGCTGTGAGAAACCTTGGTGTACACTTTGATAGCTCTCTGAACATGGAGAAACAGATAAACTCAATTGCCAGTTCCTGTTATCACCAAATCAGAAACATTGGGGGTATCCGTCAGTTCATCACCACAGATGCATGCAAGACATTGGTACATTCTCTTGTTACTTCTAGGTTAGACTATGGTAACGCGTTACTCGTTGGTGTAGCTGATACACTACTGAGCCGCCTGCAGAGGGTACAGAACACCGCAGCACGCCTAGTTACCCGTACTCGAAAGAGGGACCACATTACACCAGTCCTTTACTTATTGCATTGGCTGCCCGTGCGATTCCGGTTACAGTACAAGATTTTGATGTATACATACAAGGCAATAAATGGAACAGCTCCTGAATATTTGCAGGAACTTGTCACCGTTTATCGGCCGTCACGATCACTACGATCGGAGACAGAATCCTTGTTGTGCGTTCCGAACTCTCGGACTGTGACTTATGGTAACCGATGCTTTGGAAAGGTAGCGGCCACTTTGTGGAACAGCTTACCATCTGCTACTAGAAAGTCAAAATCCCTGGCCAAATTCAAGAGGGATATTAAAACCCACCTGTTTACGTCTGCATTTTAGACTCTCACGCAGACGTCCTGTATATACATACTTTCACCACTACTTACTTGATTTGGTTACTGTGTTACATATGTTGATTACTGTGTTATACATGTTCTGTAAATTTTGTAGTAAGATTATTATGTAATTGTGAAGCGCATTAGAGTATTTTGTCAAAATAGATAGTGCGCTATATAAATGTTGTATATTATTATTATTATTATTACACTCATGATAAGGCGTTTATGATAAAAATACAATACTGAAAATTTTATTATCGTAATCATGAACTTTGATAATTAAATCAATGATGTGCATGTTTGTTGTCTGTGTACAGGTTAGCTCACATAATACGTAAGTTTCCCTCTAATTCATCCAATGAGGTTATCGAATACTAGTAACGCTGACTGTGTGCTTTTGTATAACCTTTAAGATAGCAAGTGGTAAACATAGCTGTTGGTCCTCGTGGTTGCCCGTTACGTAAATGACTCGTTTTCAGTCATGCGAATAGTGACACGGTTCATAACATACATGTTTTCTTTACGCTGATCTGATATTGTCCGATTTACTAAAACAAGGAAAAACATTAAATCATGGGGCTGTTGCACCTCCACGTTTAGGTTTTGAATTTTCTTTCGGTCACTTTGGAGTTTCCTCATTCGCCTCCTCGACTTCAAAATTTAGGTCCTTAACATCACTGACAGGTCCTAGAAGGACGGAAAAGCTGTATGATGCAGTTTAATTCATTGTTTGGCTCTACGGTAACTACCTATAAATCACTAAAAGTGTTATTCACTTGCTTGTCTTTTGCACAATTTCACCCTAGGTGAACAAACAAAGAGACACAGTTGTCAATTAATTGTAAACAAGACATGCAAATGAGTCACAGCTGACCGGATACGAGCAGAGAAGCACAATACTCACCCGATACGAACAGGTGTATACACATGGTTAAAGATGTCAGGATCAAGAATTGATGACGAGCCATTTTGCCGACTGGAAATTAAGAGATGCTTGTTACAATGTGATATTCGATTACGCCAGCATTTACTTTTGCTGTATTTGCAATTTGCGTTTGTCCATCTTTTCACTTCTTGATGTTATAGCGAGATGATATCGATTATCACATCTGTTTCGATCATTTTCCTTGATTCTGTGCCTTCAATAAAACGATATTTTCCCCTTTTTTCTATTTGAGATTTAAGATACTACATAATGAGATTGATTTTTTAATTAAGTATCGAAGATTCGAAATTTAAAATCATGAAATAGGGGTTTAGTATTTCATATCAATGGAAACACTATTTAATATAAATATATATATATATATATATATATCAAGGCGATAAATTTCGGACAAACGATGTATCAATCGGGTCTTTAGGCTTTTCAACGAGCTTTAATGAAATTTAATCTCAAAGAAACAATCTTTTTAGCTAAACCTGAAAATATGTCTCCTATGAAAGTCAATTTACATCTTATTCATATTATTCGTAAAGAGAAAATGTCCACGCTTTCAAACATAATGCAATAAAAACGATAAGGTAAAGTTGTGTTAGCATTTATGTGTAAAGTGGCCCAGAAGTATAAACGCAAATAACAGACAAAAAAAAATAGATTTTTACATAAATTCATTTTCGTTATATTAAAGTATTACTTACACGTCAACTTCATCTGTCAATGTACCCAGCTGGTGATATCTAGAAAACATAAAAATATTTATAAGTCATGTCAGTTCCGGGAGTTTAATTTTACAATATTTACTAGACGTGTTATTAGATCGGGTCTTACATAGAAAACGTCACAGTCGTAATCTATTGGAGCACAGACAAACTTTTCATCCAACCATTTTGCTCTCTGTTTCCGGATGGTCTTCAGTAACTACTGCACTCAATCCTGATAGGCTCAATACACGCGGTATCTCAAACCAAGATAATTTAATTCATAATGATCCTTGATTGCTTGGTACACTTATATATATATAGGTATTTATATATTAAAAAAAGACAAAAACAAAACTAAAAAATTAACTAAAAACCCCATTGTGATATAGAAATTTAAAAAAAGCCAACATGCCAACATAATCAAAACTCAAACTTTCATTCAATTAAACCAGGGTTAAATATGAACAAAAGAAAGATTTACACGGAGACTCTTGAAAAAACACAAGGAGAATAAGATCAGGTGTTCAGGAAGAGTAAGCGTCTTCTTCATAGATGACACCCGCCATGTAAAGTTTGGTCAATCCAAGTAAGTAATGGCACATTCACAAATGAGAACAAGGTTCACAGCAACGGAACCAACAGACAAACCAACGAGCATGAAGAATTAAAATATTATTCAATGATATCACTTTATAATACAAACCCTTACAAAGTACTATTTAGTACAATGGCCTGTATATAATCATCGAAAAATAGAGTACTGTATAAACCGATTTCACGTCCAAATGAAGACACTGATAAAGCATCGGAAAACATTTATTGAATATTAAATGATGTCGGCAGGAAGGTATGTCTCCAAGAAGTCCGCTAGGTTACCGGAATTGTAATGCTAACTTTGTATAATATCATTAACGAGTGTGATCGAATTAGGGAGCCAAGAAAAACACCGAATGAAGTTAGGCCTAGACGTTATAAGATAAGAAATGGAAATAAAACAATAAATCAACGCTTTCGTTGATATATCACCTACGTATATAGATCTTCTCTTTGTTACACTGTCGTTTTATATTCACTAGGAAAGGATGCTTGTTTTAACCGGACTGATGTTCGTCACTGGACACCATAGAATATCGCATTGTTTTCGGGGATTCTGTAGCTAAAGTCGGGTTGACTGTTCACAGTAAAAACACGCTGTACCAAGTGAGACTAGAGTCGTTGAAGTCATAGTCAAATTTGATTTGTTGTCCTTATTTTGTCCAAAGTCATGTATTTTTTTGATATTATCGCACGAAAGGTCGTTAGGTAATACATGAATCTCTGAATCATGTAGAAGAAGAATGATTAACTACATTACGTTTGTATGTAAATGTTTTCTATGATAATAACATCCTAGATATTCCGGGAGTTATGATCACTTTCACTCTCTGCACCCCTGAAACATATGGCAAAATTTAAGACACAAGCGAAGTAATTTGATTGGTTCAAGAAGAAAAAACTGACCAATCACAGGCTGATATAATCATGTTGAAGACTGCAAAAGAGCGACCCCGAGATAATTTCGTCTTGTTCACAAGGTATCACATATAGACATTAAATACTGTCATGACAAGTTCCGAGGGTGCAGAGAGCGAAAGTGGTCGTAACTCATAGAGTATCGAGGATACGATAATATCACTTTTTTTGTATTACCTTGCATCAGATTTCCCATTTAATAGATAATAAGTAATTAGTCAACTCATGTCTGCGCTTTTAACTATGAAAAGACGTCTGTTTAAAGAATGGTCTCTTTAATGAATACATCACAATCAATGATATATTGTGTCAGAACTTGACCTTAAAAGTTGACCTAGTTAGATAACACAAAATAAATCTTTCTTAACGTATCTTTACCTCCGAAACTTTATTGTGAATGACTTTCCAAAATCCATCAAGTGATATATTTAATCTGACAACGTCTCTTTATAAGTCTCCGGGTATTTCATTATTGTTGTGAAGGAATGCCAGTACAAAAGACTATTCGTGCCGTACAGAAGTAGGCCAAACGGGACCACCGAATAACCTATCACTGCTGTCCTATTTAGAATGATATGAAGGCCATCTTGTCGTGTTGAAGAAGTTAACTACAGCCAAACTTCGGTATTTCGAATTTCTCGATATTTCGAACTTTTTAAAAAGTCCCGAATTTTTTTACTATATAACTATAGTAATTTTACCATACTTATTTTGAACTTTTACATATCTAATTTCTCGCTATTTCGAACTTTTTTCTAGTATGATGCAGGATACTACTGAAGACGTGTTATAACTGTGCTATTTTGTTGTTTGACATGAGATGACCGTTATTGACTTAGATGCTGTTATGCAGTTTACAATGTATAAATCTAACAGGCACAAACAACCTTTTTTTTCTAAAAGCAGAAGTCTTTTGAAATGGCATAGAAATTCTAACTCCACAAAAGAATCGTGTTAGCGAGGAATAAACTAAAAGAGGACAACACCATAGATCACTCATATCAATAATACAATACCATAGTCTTTACAAAGAACTCTTTTCGTGTGAAAACAATGTATTCATTTCAAAGATTCCTTTTGGAAGGAACCAAATTGCTTAGCAAGTCGCAATACCTAATACACCTCTACAGAGAGTATGAATGTGAAACAATTTTTAATTTATCTCTAGAAGCAATTTTTTTTAACATACACCCATTGTTTATAAGAAAACATTGCTTTAACAAATCCTTTTACACGATATCTTTATTAGGTAACATAAGAGCTAATATCATCAACAGTTCAGCGTATCTACAGGACAATTGACTGAAATATACTACGAGACAGTTATTTCGTTACTGACCCCTGTTTACCACTTCACTTATGATGTCACTGATCAGCAGGCATGACGTCCTTGACATGAGATAGCCCCTACTTATATCCCCATATCAAGCACTATGATAAGTATCTTCATCACATAAGAATGCCAGTGAGGTTGTCAAGAGAAATAGTTTTGCCTTACTTATATATCAGCGGCAGGACAATGACGCACTTCGGGTCAAATTACATGTGAAAATCATTCCCTTGTACTTTCTGTATGTAAAATATCTTTGCAAACTTTATAAACTTTCTAGAATTAAAGGAATGATATGATATTGGTTCGTTAATAAAGACTTGGTAATTTAAGGATTAAATTTAATTGTATTTTATGTTAATAAGCCAAAAAAACTGCAGAACTGTTAATGCTAAATATACACTCTGGTTTTTGTGGTATGTATAAATTACATAAAATGAGTAAAAATTATCGTTACATTTTAATCCAAGATTGCAATACGTTTATTTTTTGTTGTTAACACATTCGTTGATAATTCTTTACACCGCCGCCATTGGCCAATTAAACGTGACGTAGCAAAACGACGTCAATATCTTATGTAATGAGGTGATGTCCAATGTAAATGCTTGTTTCACACAGGATTTAATGATACATAGTAACAGAGAGGTAAACAACAGGTAAACGATTAACAAGATTCACGTGACCCATTCAAGCTGAACTCCTGACAACAGTAATATTTATAGTAGACGTCGAGTGTTTATGTAAATGTTGAAAACAGATTATAATCTACCTGTAAAGAGATGTAAACAGGTATATCAAAGATTATACAAAAGACACTTAAGTGAATATCACTTTTACTGCAAAGTTAGAGCTAGCTACATTAGCGTCAAACATTGAATCAAACTTCATCATACAGCTCTTTCGTTCTTTAAGGATTTGTCAAGATGATAGGGGTTTAAAGTATTAAAGTAATACTACAGTTAAAGTGGTTTTTTTATTCATAACAGCTAACAAAATTCCAGTTTTACTAAACTCCAAACACTGGTTGGTTACAGTCAACACAACATCGCCATATAATACCAGAAACATACAAAACATAACGCTTTTACATCACACAAATGTAATATGAATGAATTTAGAACTAAGTATTGTACAAAACTGAAAAGCGCCTTTCAAAACAAATTCAGAATTACGTTCAAATTAATCATGGCATGAAACTACATCATACAGCGGTTTCGTCCTTCTTGGACTCGTTAGCGATGCAATAGGCCAAAATTGTTGAAACTTTGGAGGCGAATGAAAAAAACAAAACCGGATAAGGAGGTGAATTGAATCATTGGATTGTATGTATGTTTAAGTCCGGCAATTCTAATTAATTTTAAACGTCACATGCAGGTTACGATAAACCTCCGGGTTGAAAGGTCAACTTACAGTCTACCACCTGCAAACTCAATAATATACCCATGACATAGATATGCTAAACATGCCATGCATAAATGTCGA